TCTTCTTCCGTTGTGCACAGGGTCTGTGCCTTGTGGAACAGCGATGAGGCTATCCCCGCGTAAACGTGCTTTGGATAACCTGAAGTGTAATGGAGTATCCCATCGGTATCTGCTGGCTTACGGTTGACTGTTGTTTCCAAATGTCCTCCATGTCTATGAACTAGGCAGTCAAGGAATGGTATTGTACCACTGCCCGACTCCGAGTCCACAGTGAAATTTATCCTCCCGTCACTGGAGTTTAGATTGTCTAGCAAGTCCTCCTTCTGATCTCTTTTTATTACCACGAAAGTGTCGGCTACTTACCGCCACCAAACTTTCAGGGAGCTACTGGAGTCTACAAGGGCCTTCTTCTTGAAGTCCACCATGTACAAGTTTGCCAATACAGGGATCGTGGCGATGCCATGGCCAGACCTTGTTCTTGGGTATACATCTTCGACTGGAAAACGAAATAGGACAGGTTAAGGCACAACGCCATGCCCTGCACAATTTGATCAACTGTAAGTTTTGTTCTCTCACCCAGTGTGTTGTCCTCGTTCGGGCAGCGTCTTGCTAACTATAGCGCTTTCTCTTTGGGTACATTAGTAAAAAGCGAACTGACATCAAAGCTTCTGAGCTCATCCGGTTCATTGGTGAGCACTATTATCTTTTGGGTAAACTCGTACGAGTTCTTCATGAATGTGCTCCTTCGTCCTGTCAGAGGCTGCAATACTCCAGCCAAATATCTCGCGAGTTCCTGAGTCGAAGAGCCTATGCCATCGACTATGGGCCGCATGCGAAAGCTATAGGGATAGGTAAGTGGCATAGCTTCTATCCAAAGTCCATACTGCCTCCTAGGTTTTATGGGCAGCCCATGGTACACACGCTTGACGTTCCCATGCGGCACATAGTCGACGGCATAGGCTCTCCGACTCACGAAATCGCGAGATATTTGGCTGGAATATTGCAGCCTCTGACAGGAGGAACGAACACATTCATTAAGGACTCGTACGAGATTGCCCAAAAGATAGTAGTGCTCACCATTGAGCCGGATGAACTAATGATAAGTTTTGATGTCACCTCGCCTTTTACTAATGTACCCAAAGAGGAAGCGTTAGAGTTAGCAAGGCGCTGCCGCTCATTGGTTGCACATCCTCCGAAACTGCTTAAATATGAGAAACTTTCATGTATGTACACTAACGCCCAAGGGCTCCTCAGCGAGTTTACCGAACACCGACTACGTCAAGTCGCGAGTGCTTGGGATCTACTTGCCAGTACTGAAACTTGATTGCACCAAGAAGCTGCCTATGATGAGATCGAGATACCAGGAATGTCACTGATCCGAAACGACTGTTCCAGCAGGGAAGGTGGGGTCTTCTTACTACTGCAGCGACCTGCAATGTGCAGTAGTTGATAATCTGGGAACTCATGTCACCTACTCGCTTTGGCGCTGTCTCCGATCAAAATGCAACAACATATGTCTCGTAGCTGTCATTTGTCGCCCAGTAACATCCACTCCTGAAATGGATTCCAGCTTGATACCAGCCCGGAGCAGTGTTACACGCCCTAGGTACAGCCATATCCTAATCTAAGGGGATTTCAATGTGCACGATCTTGAGGTATCGGCATCCCCAAATTACCAGTATAAAGCCGACCTGCATAAATTTATCGTTTCCATTCCCTTATACAACCCTATCATCTCTCCAAAAAGATTCCGGGTTTAAAACAAACCGTCTGTATTAGATATTGTGCTCACAGCTAAATAGTTCACAGAAGATCAGGTATTGATGAAGAGTCCATTAAGTCTTAGCGGCCATGTACTTATCACCTTTAACTACCTTAGCTATGCGGAGTATACATCTGAACAGTCGGAATTAGTTCACACAATTACATGCTAGCACGTCCCCAAAACATTCGTTGAGGCATCCGCTTGGGAGTACTCGAACAACCGTCCACTGGACAACGTTTGGAAAGAATTCGTTGAAAGACTCAATGCCATGGTCAACAGAGCATCAGAAACCAAGCCATTTGTTCTGCAAAAGTGCCGTTAATTCTGAAACAGGACTCGAAAATGCATGGCAAAGGAGGATGCAGCATGGCTTGTCCACAAGGCTAACCCGTACTCAGAGACTTGAGGCAACTTCCTGGCAAATGGCAGTCATTGCCCCACATTTGTCCGCGAGGGAAAGTTAACCACCGTGCCTAGGAAACAAACAAAAATGTTTTGTCTTACTTTGTGTCAAAATGTTCCATTCTTCCTGCGGCATGTTAGCTGAAGTGTGTTGCTCACCTTCAACTACCATGCCACGATGATTATGACGCGATGACGGTCCCTTATCCGCTGATCTCCATGGTTTTATGTTGGCTCCGTGTCTAGTTGGTAGACTGCTGAGATTACTACTACTACTACTACTACTACTACTACTACTACTACTACTACTACTACTACTACTACTACTACTACTACTACTACTACTACTACTACTACTACTACTACTACTACTACTACTACTACTACTACTACTACTACTACTACTACTACTACCAACACGCTCGTGCTCTAAATCGAGCGACAGTTTTGGACACAGCCTCTCCAGCGGTAACTAATCGCGATATGATCGATTTGCGTCCATGGCTGACCCGAGGCTGGTGGCCGCCAAGTCACGCTTCTGCGGGTGTCGTGTCGAAAGTTTGTGCTCGCAAGTAAGTAACGAGCATCTTCACACAGCTGTAGCAACCGCTCACCGTTATCATTACGGAAGTCTACACCATGTTGGCCGCCCAGATGAAGATCATCAGAGGACAATTTTCCGACTTGGGCGGTTAGATCGCCATCCAAAACCACAGTATCAGTGCTTCTTCTATAACGAAGGAGCTCGTGAAGTTGCTGATAGAAAACATCTCTTACTGAATGAGTGCTACAGTTTGTAGGGGCGTAGGTCACAATGACAAACAGGCACCGTTTGATCCCGCGCGACTTCGTAGCATGGAACGAACCAGCTAATCTAACGGCGCACATCCTCCTGTTGACTAGGATCCAATCGATCAGGGCAGCTTCAGCCCGGGGACTCAAAACAATGCCGACGCCAGCTTGACCGGCATTTGAAGCTGCATCATCGCCAGACAGGCGCAATGAGAATGTGCCGCCAGTGTCGCATGTGGGAGATCGCAGAGTAAGCACGGAGCTCGAATCTTGCAGGCGGGTTTCTGCTAAACAACAAATATCAATCGACCGGGTCTCGAGTGTTCGGACAACTGCTACCTGTTGGCCAATCTGTAGCAAAGTGCGCACATTGAGGCATGCCAGTCTTAGCGAGACGCGAGGACTCCAAATGGCAACGGATGAACTGACATTGTACGCTTGGTTGAACATGGACTTGTCGACTGGATTGGAGCGACGCGCTGCGACCTTGTGTGAGTTGAAACTAGAAGACAAGCGACTATTGAAGCAAGGTGGGGGAGGGCCAATAATTGGGGATTGAAAATGGGAGGATATAAGTAAAGTTGGAGCGGGACGATAAGATGAAAAAGCGCAAGAAGGGTGTAAGAAGACGGGAAGGCCTGAGCAGTAGCAACCAAACCCCTATGCACCCTGCTTGATGCAGCAGATAGGGCGCCGTTGATTATCCTCTGCGACGGACAGAGCATCAAGCAATTGTTAGAAGAAAGGTTCATTGTATTGCGCGGGTAGAATACTGTCAGGTTTCCCAAGCCTAGGCAGGAAAACGAGTAGGGTTCTCAACGAAATCCTTTGGTTGGAAAACTTTACCGCAATGCAGCGGGGTTTTAACACTGGACTACAGAGAGCCCGTTTTATGGAGTAAGGAGCCACGCTCACTCCACCCCCCACCCTGGAGGGTCAGGAGACTGAGTTTGCCAGGCATCTAACCATTGACCAATCTGGTATGAGTGGCTCTGAAGTTGCAAAAAGCACCACCCAGCAAAGCTCAATGGATCACTGAGGCACACAAACCATCACACCACATTAAGGTTCAGTCTCGTCGCAATGGCCAAGAAAGCTTTGCTTTCACTTTGTTACACGGTCGATGTTCTTCTCTGTGACAATGCTAGTTTGTGTATAGGAACTGCCCCGCTCTGCGGGATCTACATTCCTAATATCAACTCTTGACAAAGCGTATTCTACGCTGTACTGGTTACTCGTAGGTGCGTAGCGGCAAGCTATCGACATTGACGCTGTTGGCCGGGGGCACAACCGTTGACATCTTACCTCGTTTCAGATCATCAGGTAGGATATGAGAGAAGACATGGCAGGTTCTGGTGTCATGGTATATGTTGCCTAGATGCCACGCAGAAAATGGCAAGTGAAATAAAAAATCTCGCACTCGAGCTAATAATGCCACGCAATAAGCGGTCCAGAGATATTAACGGTTAAATCTTTGTTTGATGCAAGGCACCAGTAGAAAACTTCAAATATTCATTGAATAGTTTGATGAGATTAATCGACATTAGGTCAAGTTGGTGTAAGGCGCATTTGACGGATGATCTATTCATTATGATGCGAAGTTGGTTAGCTGTAACTCTTACACTTCCAACTGGGGTTATGGTGCCAGCTGTAGACTTGTCTGAAGGTGATCGACGCCTCAGTGCATCATGTTTGCGGTACATCCAACCAACAGTCGGACCGCTTCACCACACATGGGCTTGTGGATGGGTTTCCTGGTATTCAGAACACGCTAGACAACTTATACACCAGTGTGATTATGTATAGATGTCGAATATGGAAAGCCTACCTTGCAACGTTGGCTTTAAATTATTTTGTCCTGAACTGTTTACTTGTTGCTCTTTTACACTGCTCGTTTAGTTAAATGACACTTCTACACAGGATCCTAGTATCCATTCTTACAAAGTTACTTTTGGTAATCTAACTTTAGCTCATCCATTGTCGATATTGTAAACTGCTGAAAATGCACCCATCTTGATACCTAAAGCTTTATTTGAATTGACTTGAGTAAATCTGGTCAGAAGCCAGATTAGGCGTAACTTATCAATGTCGCATCACTTACCCTGTTTCTCGGGAAGCATAGTGTGATGGTCATAGATGGTCTTGGCTATTTCTATTTCATCATCGATCATTTGAAGTAGCAGACGGTACTTTGGCTCGCAGGCATCCCGTATTATCGGTCTTTCAAGGAAGCTCGCCAGGATTGCAATGAGCTTACAAACAGACGGCAAAGAGAACACAGTTAGACATGATGGCAAAAGATTACACAAAACTGAGAGTTTCTGAGACAAGGAAGTGATGGAGTATTGTGCAGCTGAAGAACACGGGATGAGCGCTTACGAAGTAGGCACGCTCAGCTTACGTGGGGTGTAGCTGCTTTAACATTGTGGTTTTGACAAAGTACACATGGGATTTCCTGTTGATAAAATATACTACCACGTATTCAACCTTTGTTACTTTACTGTGAGGGCGGTTTACACATATGGGTCTGTGCATCATTGAACAACCTCCGTGAAATAGACAGTTGAGTACCATAATCCCAACTATCCGGGAATCTTGTTACTACAGTTACTTATGACTATGAGCCATGGGTATTGCAATTATCAGTCGAAAATTAAAAGGCTGACAACAGTAATTTTTTGTGTATGAGAGAAAAGTTTCGATGATTAAAGGGCTTGAAAGATGAGTCACATCACTGTTGCAGGGGTTATTGTTGACGGGATTTATCAGTAGAGACGTTGAAATGAATATGTTTCTCTAATACTAGTGTGCTAACGTATTTAACTAGCCATTATAATGGAACCGACAATTATTGCTTGCACTACTTTTTTCTCACTCGAGATACTAAAAGTAATTTTTAATGGTTGTTGTCTCGGGTTCCTGACTTAACAACGCACTATTTGTTTATAATCGTAATTTCAAATTTTGACCTTTTAAAAGGCAGCATTTAAATAAATAAATGGAAAAATAAATAACTGGTTTATTCTTGAGATAATGAGATGCACCAACGAAAGCATGACTAGGTGAACTCAGCAAGTGTGGTTCCAACGGAATACTGCAAGTAATGAATCGAAAAACTAGCGACGGGAAACTTCGTGCAGACTGTAGATACACGAATGTTACCGGATAAGTGTTGCAGATAATTGAGATCAAAGTAACATGTGGCGCTGGTACATGAACGAATAAAAATGAATAACTGTGTCGGCAATAATCGAGAGGCAGTTACTGAATGCTATGCTGTGATTCATTGTTTCATGGGCGCCAGAATCAAAAGAAATGCTTGGTAACTATGGCCTATAAGCTAGATCGTGTACGGTCATATATCATCAAAGTAATGGTTTTTGTCACGCATTAATACGAATAAGTACTATATTTCTTCTATACACAAATCTTTGCTGTCAACAAGCAACTTTTACTACCGTAAAGTTTGCCGCCATGCAAATGACAGAGTTCACTACCCCGCATTGCCATTACACGACCATCCAACTAGGACAATTACTGGCATTTATCTGATACTAAGAAATCTGAAGAATTTTGGGATGCTTCCGCATAAACGGTCCGCCATCATGCACTATGGTGTACGACTTTTGAGTATAGAATGGAAGCCAAAACGGATTGTCCCTAACGCTTGATGTATGTTAAGCATCTTGAATACATGTTGAAGGTAACATCAGCTAATGTTGGGGACAATCAGACTTGAACTGGTTTAAACCTATGAAAATTCCCGTTACTGCAACATGGTTAGGATAATGTATCGTATGACCGGTGATGCCTCGACCCCACGTCTTTGCTTTCAAAATGTTTCGCTTCCTGAATCATTCAGCTAATCCACCACATTGTATAGTCGTCACAAGGAATGGGGAATCTAATCGAAAGTCTGAATCAGGGCACTACATGCATTTTCTTGGCTGTGGTTAAACAGATCTACGGCATTGGTAGAGAGTGTAGCTTGGGAATTAATTAGCGCAGTTGCTTTCAACAAAACTCCTCTACCATATCGTCTCACCATTTAATCTACTTACTAGTTGTTTATTTTAACCTTTTCAGCTAATAATTTCATCCTCCCAGAATGAAATGTACAGTTCATCCACCATTTCATGATTTGGTACTCAAACGACAAACATTAAAAACCATACCACTCGTTGTTACATATAAATAGCTTATCCTCGATAGCATCGAGTCACACCTTATTAGGCATGATCAAAGTATTACAAACAACGTTTCGCAGTAGGCACATTGTGTTGCATGAATAAATGGGGAAAGTACTGTGATGGTATGACACTACATTTAGATGCCCGTTGCATAGCGATCGGTCGAGCTTAACGATTTTGGGTCAACGGTCTGAAAGCTGGTCAATCGCTGCACAGGCGAACTGAAGGTTAGCATGCAATCGATTTCTATCGACATTGAACGAAACTCGAACGCTGGCTGAGAATGTAATAGAAAGGAGATTTGTTTTGCGAATGATTCTAATTGACTCGAGATATAAAATGAGTTTGCGTTCTATGAATAATGAATTTCTGATCGAGGCCCAGACTTTGACTTTTTGATGCACTGAGGGCCACTTTACATGGCGACAGAGGACAAGAAGACACGCCGAACCCCGCATGCGTTTGGTGGACAACCAACGATTCCGCTGCCAGCTCCGTTGCAAATGACCGAGAGTTCGTTGCCGGAGAATTGGAAAATATGGAAGGCGAAGTGGCTAGACTTTGTAACACTGACTCAGTTGGATTCTCAGCCAATGGCCTATCAACTGGCGATGTTCAGGCATGCCATTGGAGACGAAGCCAGGCGGACGCTGCAAACGTTGGATCTCAGCGATGGAACTCAGGAGATGGAGCTGGATGAAGTAATACGCAGATTCGGCGAGTTTTGCGAAGGTTACACAAACGAAACTTACCAAAGGTATCTGTTTTTCAGCCGAAATCGCCTGCCGGGTGAATCAATCGACGCATACATCACGGAGCTGAAAATTCTGGCGCGGGATTGCAATTTTTGCACCTGTTTACGAGATTCGCTGATCCGCGATCGAATTATAATTGGCATAAAGAATGAGGAACTTTCCAGACGCCTTTTGCGACAGCGAAACCTGTCTTTGGAACATTGCATCGATATCTGTTTTAGCGAATCAAGGACGGCTCAACAGTTTCAGCAGCTCAAGATGGAGTCCACGACGGATCTGTTTGCAGTATCCCGAGGCCGAGAAATTGTATCGAAGTCATCGAGCGCGAATCAACCCAAATGCCAGTTTTGCGGCCGCTCACACCCAAGGCGCAAAGAGGATTGTCCAGCATGGGGCCGAACCTGTATGAAGTGTGCGAAGAAGAACCACTTTGCACGTTGTTGTCAGGCAACCAAAGTCGACTCAGTCGGGCAGGACGATCAGGAAGAGCCGCAGGAACTGGCTATTAACAACATGACAGGACGTGAGAGACCAGCCTGTGTATTCGCAACGTTGCTTATTCAAGGGCGTCCGGTGCGATTCCAATTGGATTCAGGAGCAAGCGTGAACATACTTCCTCACAAATACTGTCCCGATGCAGAATACCGCCAAATACAGACACAGCTCAGAATGTGGAACGGATCAAAGTTACAACCGAAGGGCTGCGTTACCATGAAGGCCATAAACCCGAAGGATGGCTCCGAGCATTTACTTGATTTTCTCCTGGTATCAGGAGATTTAATGCCCATCCTGGGCCTTGATTCCATTCAGAGTTTGGGTTTTGTTTCTTTTAATCATGATCGTTTTGTTCACTCGTGCGAAGTCGGTACAGAGATCGTAGACAACTATCCCAGTGTGTTTGATGGTACCGTGGGAAAATTCCAAGGCGTAGCTCACCTGTCGTTAAACGAGTCCGCTAGACCAGTAGCACTACCAGCGAGAAAAGTACCTATCGCTTTGCGTGAGAAGTTCTTAGACGAGTTGCAGCGTTTGATCAGTTTAGGTGTGATTGCCAAGGTCGATGAGCCAACCGATTGGGTCAGTCAAGTCGCGATAATCACCAAGAAGTCAGGCGATTTGCGTGTGTGCATCGACCCTAAGCCGCTCAACGCCGCACTCAGGAGAGAGTATTTTACACTACCAACGCTAGATGACGTCTTACCCGAGTTGTCCAAGGCCAGATTGTTCACGAAGGTCGACCTCGCTTCCGCTTTCTGGCACGTCCAGCTTGACGAAGAGTCCAGTTATTTAACCACGTTCGGAACGCCATTTGGACGGTTTCGGTGGTTGCGCTTACCATTCGGTTTGAAAGTGTCCAGTGAAATTTTTCAGAAACGATTAATGCAGGCCCTAGACGATCTACCCGGAGCTATTTGTGTAGCAGACGATGTAGTGGTTTTTGGGGCGACTCTGGAAGAGCACGACCGTAACCTGAGCAGATTGCTAGAACGCTGTAAAGACAAGAATATCAGATTGAAACGTGAGAAAATTGAGTTACGAAAAACAGAGCTGGTGTTCCACGGACATGTTTTGAGCGCAGAAGGTCTAAAGCCAGATCCGGAGAAAGTTAGAGCCATAAAAGAGATGCCACCTCCGACAGATGTTAAAGCCGTGAGCAGACTAAACGGGATGGTGAATTACCTCAGCCGCTTCCTTCCACGACTAGCCGAAGTAATGGTTCCTATCCGAAAACTTACACATAAGGGCGAGAGCTGGCAGTGGAACACAGAACAGGAGGAGGCTTTCCAGAACATCAAACAACTGATCGCGTGCGCCCCTGTCCTAGCGTATTACGATCCGTCACTTCCCCTTGAGATCCAGTGTGACAGCAGCCAATTCGGTATCGGTGCCGTGCTAATGCAGAACGGGAAGCCCATCGATTTTCGCAGTCGGACAATAACGGAATCCGAGCGCCGTTATGCACAGATTGAAAAGGAGATGCTAGCATTGGTTTATGCCGTAGAGCGTTTCAACGATTACACTTTTGGTCGCCGGACCACTGTATTTACCGATCACAAGCCTCTGGTATCAATAGCCAATAAACCACTGCACGTCGTCCCACGCCGCTTACAACGAATGCTCATTCGGCTCCAGAAGTACGACCTAGACATTGTCTACCAACCGGGGTCGAGGATGTACATTGCAGACACACTGTCTAGGGCATATCTTTCCGATGTGACCGCAACGCAAGAAGACCAAGACATTGTCCATGTCACTCAGCTATTGGCCGTCACAGAGGAGCGTTTCCAGCAACTACTACGCCACACG